TGTGAGAACCTCAAAGTATATATATATAAACCTCAGTGCATACTTCATTTGCATTTCTAATTCCTTAATAAATTCTAGCATTACTTTTACTTGTTTTAAATAAAGTGCGTAAAAATAATTTTTATGTGAAAAATAATATAATTGTACTAAATTATTATCTTACTTGACCTGTTATAACTAAATAGATATTTCTTGAGTTAGATTAATTTTATTGCTCTAAAAATAAATGCTTTAAATTTTGATAGCTAACTTTTCCCTTATAAGGTCAAGAGTAAATAGGAACTTTAGTGTTAAGGTGAAATCGTTAAATGTTAGATAAACATAACACAAGTATACTAAGTATAAACTTAGGATGTAAAAATTTCGATAATTGAACCCTTGCGAGATTGGTATATTGGTAGGCGTTTAAATCTCATTTGGAATAATTCTTGGAATTAAGTTAGAATTGAGGACTCGAGTAGAAATTAGGAGAAAATGTGAAAAGACCGAAATACCCTCCACTACTTCGAAAATATCCATGCAACCACCAAACACTTTCTCGGACAAATTCTATATAACATAGCCATTTCCTTCGGCCGGATGCAATCTTCACCATTTCCACACTCAACCTTCTCCCTACCATGCACCATTTCACTCTCCACCCTCTCACCTCGAACCATCACTCCACCTCACCTCGTGATCATCGAAGGAAAGAAGATAGAGAGCCGTAGCCTTAGTATCATCGACGAGAGAGCGAGCTGCAACATTCCAGTTCTGACCGAGGGAGTGAGCTGCACCATTTCCCTCATCCCAACCACGAGCTGACCATTTTCTTCTGTTTCTTCAACCCCCACCAGCGCCAACCAGTTCACCAGTTCCAACCACCAACTCCACCGCCTGCAACAGCCGCAACTACTGCAACCAGAACCAGCACTTCAGGCCTTGCGCGTGAGCCGAGAGGAAAGAAAGAAAATTCAGCGTACTGTCGAGGGAGCTGGGAGTCTAGCTGAGGTAATTTCTGAGCTAGACTAAGTTAATTAGAGGTAGATGATAGTGTTTAAGAGCTTGCATGTGGGATTTGTGCGTTTGGATGAGAGATTTAGGAACAGAAAATTCTGATGCGCGAGGGAATAGGTTTTGCCGAGAGCTGAAATGATAATGTAGCATTAACCTTGTTTATTTCTTGACAATCTGAGCTTGCATTGGTGATTAAACAACTAACCACTAGATGATTAAACTGGTTACAGACTTGCATGTTGGATTTGTGCATTCGGACGAGTAGTTTAGGAAAAAGAAAATCTGATGTGCGCAAGAATAGGTTTGCCGAGAACTGATTAGGAATGATGCAGCTTTATTTGGCTTAATCGTGATGTTCTGAGATTATAGCTATGATTAGCTAGTTAATAACAAGATAATTAAGTCCTGCGTGGGGCTAATTAGCTCGGCTAAACAAACAAAATAAAATGAAACAGAAAATTTATGCATGCAACTTCATCCGAGACCAGCTGGATGAATTTCCTGATTTTTGGAATGATTGTAGTCGTTAACCGAATCTGATTTTGAACTAGATATGTTAGTTAACAAGCTAGCTTAGTGTTTGCATGTCAAATTTGAACACTTAACACACTGTTTTGGCCGAGGAAAAGTTGGAGTTAAGAACACCTAAGTGCTGGAAAATTTTTGATAGCCGAGAGGTGAGCAAGAGTTTTTCAGTTTATTCCGGGAATTGCAGGATGTTTTTGGAATATTTTCCTTAGAGCATAATACTCAAAAATGCACGAGAAATGTGTGTTCAAACTTGGGAATCTGCTTAGCTACGAAACACTTGACGTGTTGGAAATTTTGGTTGGAAATGTTTAAGCATAGAGCTGGAAATTTTTTAGTTTAAACAAGAATGGAAGAAAGGAGTTTTTCAGATTTCTTTTGCGAATTTTTGGTTCTAAAAATTGCTGTTTTGAATTGTTAGCTATATTGCTACAAGAAATAATTGTTGGATGCTAAGGGCTAATGATTGATGAAGCCTTGGCTATTTGAGCAATTTTTACAAGCATTTCAGTTTTGCTGAAATTAACTGCTGGAGTTGCTTGTTATTACATCTACTTGGTTGACAAAACCCTTGCGGTTTAGTTGACGGAATTGCTTGGAGGCCTTGCATTTATTTTGTTCAATTGTGATCTGATATGAGAATGTTGGATACCAAGAGCTAATGATTGACGAAGCCTTGGTCTTTTGTTTAATTTTTGATCAGAAATGAATCTGTTGAAACCTAGGGCTAATGATTGACGAAGCCCTAGTGAGATTTCTATTCGAAATGTGAGTTTGCTATATTGACAAATCTGAAATAATATGTGCTTGTGAATCGGAATCGTAAGAAATCCGTTTTGGTCCTGTGAACTTGAGAAAGTTTTAAGCAAGCTATTTAAATATATCTTCACCCTAGTATTGAACGATAAAACTTAGTATTGTACGTTAACGTTCAAAATTCTTGTGGAGGGGTTTTCTAAACTTTGCCGACTTGATATTTCTTTCTTTAACTCGAACTAGCCCTATTATTTTTAGAAAATAATTTCACTAGTTTCTAAAACCCTAAGTCTTGCTTTATTTCCTTTTCTTTTCTTAAAAAAAAAAAAATTTGTTTCGCCTAGTTGTCTAGAGGAAAACTTGCTCGGCAAGAAACTTATTCAAGTAAAGTAGTTTTAATTGCATGTTGAGAAAGAAAAGTATTTTTTTTAGGAAACTATACAAAATATTTTATTACTTTTACCAGTTTTAATATTAAGTGGATTGTCGATTTATTTTGAGAAAATAAACTAGTAATATACTAGATAATCTTTTATATGTATAAGCCTAGGACTTGAATAGAAAACTTATAGTTTAACACTTGGTTTTCTAGGATTTAGCGAGGACGTGGATTTCGATTTCCAACTTGAGATCTGAACTTCACTCTTGGTGAGTGTCCCTGCTTGTTTTATGACTATTTGATTAAAGTGCTTTCTTGACTTGATATATGATAATTGCAAAGTGGTTTTTGATCCATCGAAGTGAGCAGTGTGTACCTTATCACACTAGCCTTTCGAGTGGTGACTTGTGTGAAATATTTTCGTGAATATCTCAAGTGTTGTGACGTCGTTGGGTGAATCCCTCGACTAGTTTATCCAAAGGGTATACTCGAGTATTACCGCTTTCTTATTTGGTGTGCGGGCCCGGGACAGGGGTATGATTGGTGTCGGAGTTAAGAAAAAGAAAAAGATCTACATGGACCGTAAGTAGTGAGAGTTGACGGAGTGTCGACTATGGTAAATTTTGATCAAGCGTGGAGAATGGCTCCTGAGAGCCCCTGTATCCTACCTTGTGCTGTTATACGCTTTCCTATTTGTTTACTTCAGTTGAAATCAATACGTGTTATTTGTTTTATTTGATTGCATGTTTTGGGGCACCACTGAGCTTTAGCTCACCCCACGTTTATTTGTTTTCCTTGACAGGTCTTGACGTATGAGAAATCTGAGCCTACTTATATTTGCTTATGAATGTATTTGAACCTTGTGACTTTGATTTGCAGTTCGTAATGTAATTCGAAAAAAACAATGTACTTTTGTCTTGGGTTACCACTTGAAGCTGGAAAAGTGTAAACCCTAATTTTGATATTTGGCTCGTATGTAAATATTTGCGTCGTATGAATATATACTTTTGAAGTTGTTTGAATTTACTACTTGGTTGTAACGCGTGAGGTATTTAAGAGCCGTCGATTGGCTATCTTCAATTGTTGTTATCTCTGAAGTTACTGTGGTTTTAGCAATTGATCTATTTTTTTGGTAGATCATTATTGTAATAGTTAGGTTAATCTTCGGAAGGATTTGGGTGAGATTGTTTTCGTGAGTCCTGGCGAGAGCTAGGCAGAAGGCCCGCCAACCCTCTGGTTCGCCTTAGGGAGAAGTGGGGTCGCCACAGGTGGTATCAGAGCCTAGGTTAGAAAAGTTATTTGAAAGATATATTAGATGTGTTAGAAACCCTAATCCTTTCTAGAAGTAAGAAATGAGACCTTTAGATATATCTTAAGCGATATTTGAACCAATTAGCTATTTAAGTTTTAACCTTTGGATTTTGGTTATTTTGCAGGTATGGAGAATGGAAACGGACATGCTAATGGTAGTGGAGCGTCTAATGGACATGTAGAGCCGCTTAGATCCATTTGATATAGGCCACGACGCGGAGGAGACCGCGTGAGATATACTCCAGCTGATAGGCATCCTCGATGCCAGTGTAGGGCTATATACGCGTATCCTAATGATTTGGTGTTGTCCTTAGACGATGAGCGCCGCCATTTGTGGGACGCTAACCATACCCTGACCCAGGATGTAGAGGAGCTGAGTATCATGGTGGATACTCAGTTTGACCGTATAGCTGAGTTAGAGCAGAGGTTAGCAGCTGAGCATGCTAGGTTGGAGGCTGCTCGCGGAGAGATAGGGAGACAGAGATCTCGGTTGACTCGATTAGCCGAGAGCGTATGTGATAGGAGTGCTGGTATTAGGGCTGACGCCACTATGATGATGGATGAGGCCACGAGTATTCTTCAGGGTAACGCTCAGGTAGGCGTTGAGGAGGACCCAGAGGAGGATCTGGAGGAGGATCCAGAGGAGGATGTTGCTCCTGGTAGCCCTGCTGAGGGTTAGGTTAGATCTGACTTGATTGTATTAGATAGATAGGGTTAGAAAGGAGGACACTAGGTTAGGCCATCAAATTTTGTCTAGCTCGATGGCCTACTTTTGAGGCACCATATCCCTAATTCTTGTTTAAGGGATTACTTGTATATGTTTTTGTTAAACTCATGTGCCTTACTTTTGGAAAATGTCCCAACCCGCTATTTGTATGACTCTCACATATGTCTATATATTAAGCGTTTCATTTTACTTTTCTCAATTTTCCTGTTGATTTTAAATTACAAAGAGAATAATAATAACAATAATAACAATAAATATTCTCGCCTAATAGCCTTATTTTTCAATAATAGGCATAACTAGGCTATGGACCGACAAGTGATAGGTAGAGGACGTGGGAGACCAACTAGACAACATCCCGAAGCGGGTAGCGATAGGGGACCCGAGGTCAATCAAGACCAAGGTCAAGAGGGCGTGGCCGAAGACCAAGTGGCCACCGCAATTAATCGAATCACTGATGTCTTAGAGCGCTTGACTGAACACCAAGCCTCTGGACAAGTGCATCACCAAGGAAGCCCAACCGATACTGAGGATCGGGCACTAGAGAGATTTCTGAAGTTTGGACCTCCCAAGTTTTATGGAGGACCCGAACCGGAGATAGCCGAAGGCTGGTGGGAGAGAATCTCTGACATTTTCGCAGCCTTAAACTATGCGGAAGAGAGACAAGTGACTTTCGCCGCATTCCAGTTTGAGGGAGCTGCTCGTTCCTGGTGGAACCTGGTTAGGGTTAACTGGGATAGGAACCATACTCTAAGGACTTGGGCGAACTTCACAAGGGAGTTCAACGCCAAATTCCTTCCACCTCTCATCCAAGAGAAGAGAGAGGATGACTTCATCAAATGTAAGCAGGGGGCGACGAGTGTCGCCGAATATGAAGTCCAGTTTACAAAATTGTCCCGTTTTGCTCCTGAATTGATAGCCACGGAGCAAAGGCGCGTAAGGAGATTTGTACAGGGGCTAAACGTAGAAATACAGGAAGGTTTAGCTGCCGTGAGGATAGACACTTTTGCCGACGCTGTCGAGAGAGCCCAACGGGTTGAAGTAGCCAGAGCTCAAGTGAAATCTTTTCAAGCTAAGAAACGATTTGCCCCTAGTAGTAGTCGGGAACCGACTTATGGAAATGCTCTACCGGCCAAAATAGGTCGAAGAACAAGCGGAGTGAATAGTCCTGGAGCACCACGAGGCGCCCTAGCGAGAGGAACTGGGGCAAGAAGTGCAGGGGGGAGAGATAATGGAGCTAGAGGGGGACCAAATGGAAGAGGTCAATCTAGGAATGCCTCACAAGGAGGTCGTGCGATAACTCCACAGACAACTTGTGGGTATTGCAAGAGACCTGGCCATACTGTGGATGGTTGCTGGAGGAAACAAGGAAAGTGCTTGAAGTGTGGGAGCAGTGAGCACCAAATTTCTGGTTGCCCAAAAATACAAGACGATGGAACCCTGAATGCTGGACCAGCCAACTCTGGAGGGAATAGGCCGACAGTTCCTGCCAGGGTATACACTATAGATGACCAACCTGTACCTGATTCCTCGGAAGTCGTGGAAGGTACTCTTCCAATTTTTCAACGATTAGCTAGAGTGTTAATTGATCCTGGTGCAACTCATTCATTTGTGAATCCAACATTTATGTCCGGAATTGATGTGAAACCTGTTAGATTACCCTTTGATCTTGAAGTTAGGACACCAATGGGTAATAAGATTATAATCACTAGCTTAGCTTATAAGAATTGCAAATTCTGGATCGGAGAGCGTAAAATGCTAGTGGATTTGATAAACCTGGATATAAAAGGTTATGATGTTATTATAGGAATGGATTTCCTAGCTCATCATCATGCTAAGCTGGACTGTAGAGCAAAAGTGTTAGAACTTTGGATTCCCGGGGAAGCAACCCTGAAATTAGATGTGAAAGGTAGGTTAGCATCGTCTGCTATGATCTCGGGAATACGGGCGAGGAAAATGTTACATAAAGGAGCGCAAGGTTTCCTAGCCTTCCTGATTAACGCTCCTAGTGACCAAGTGAAGTTAGAAGATGTACCAGTGGTACGGGAATTTCCGGACGTTTTCCCTGAAGAATTAAAGACATTACCGCCGGAGAGAGAAGTGGAGTTCAAGATTGACTTGGTGCCGGGAACGGCCCCGATTTCTAAGACTCCGTACCGAATGGCTCCTGTAGAGTTAAAAGAATTGAAAATTCAACTGCAGGACCTATTGGAGAAAGGTTTCGTTAGGGAGAGTGATTCACCATGGGGAGCACCCGTTCTATTTGTTAAGAAAAAGGACGGAAGCTTGAGGTTATGTATTGATTACCGAGGGTTAAATGAGGTTACAATTAAGAATAAATACCCTCTACCGTTGATTGATAGCCTGTTTGATCAGCTGCAAGGATCCGTAGTTTTCTCAAAGCTGGATTTGAGGCAAGGGTATTACCAGTTGAAAATTAAGAAGGAAGATATACCCAAGACTGATTTTAATACACGATATGGACATTTTGAATTTGCAGTCATGCCTTTTGGACTAACAAACGCACCAGCTGCCTTCATGGACCTAATGCAGAGAGTCTTTAAGAAGTATCTGGATCAGTTCGTAGTGGTTTTTATCGATGATATTTTGATTTACTCCAAGACTCGAGAGGAACATGTTAAGCACTTGGAGATAGTTTTGCAGGTATTAAGAGAGCATAAGTTGTATGCCAAATTCAGTAAGTGCGAGTTTTGACTGGAAGAAATTTCTTTTCTAGGGCACAGAGTTTCCAAAGATGGAATTGCCGTGGATCCGGCAAAAGTTGAGGCCGTTATGATGTGGAAGCAGCCAGAAACTCCAACGGAAGTTAGAAGTTTCTTGGGATTAGCAGGTTATTATAGGCGGTTTATCAAGGATTTTTCGAAGATTGCTGGACCAATGACAGGGCTGACCAAGAAAGGGAACAAGTTTATTTGGACTCCAAAGTGTGAGTCAAGTTTTCAGGAGTTAAAGAAGCGATTAACATCCGCTCCTGTTTTGGTATTACCTGACGGATGAGAAGGTTATACCTTGTATTCTGATGCATCTAGAGAAGGTCTAGGATGTGTTTTGATGCAAATGGGTAAGGTAGTTGCCTATGCTTCTAGGAGATTGAAGCCTCACGAACAAAATTACCCAATGCATGACCTAGAATTGGCTGCAGTGATTTTTGCCTTAAACAAATCGAGACATTACTTGTACGGCGTGACTTTTGAAGTTTTTACGGACCACAAGAGCCTCAAGTACTTGTTCTCCCAAAAGGAGCTAAATTTGAGACAGAGGCGATGGGTAGAATTTTTGAAAGATTACGATTCTTCGATTAACTACCACCCAGGAAAAGCCAATGTGGTAGCAGACCCCTAAGTAGAAAAGCCCAAGTAGCGGGGTTGATGGTTAAAGAATGGGACATACTAGAAGAAGTGAGTAGTTGGAACCCTCGCTTGGGGAGATTAAAGGTTTTATTTGGGAATTTGTCATTGAAATCACCATTACTAGAGCGTGTTAAGGAGGCCCAGAAGATGGACCCTACAATTCAGAAGAATGTGGAGATAGTGCAAAAAGGGGAAACCCTAGATTTTAAGTTAGGGTCTGAAGGAGTATTGAGGTTTCGAGATCGAATTGTGGTTCCGGCAGATGAAAAGTTAAGGAAAGAAATTTTAGAAGAATCACATCGATCAAAGTATACCATACATCCTGGAGGGAATAAGATGTATCACGATGTGAAAGAGTTATACTGGTGGGACGGTTTGAAAAAGGACGTAGTTGAGTTTGTACAGAAATGTTTGATCTGCCAACAAGTAAAAGCTGAGCATCAGAAGCCCTCTGGTTTATTACAACCGTTAGAAATTCCCGAATGGAAATGGGAACATATAACAATGGATTTTGTAACGGGATTGCCTAAAAGTCAAAAAGGATTTGACGCGATTTGGGTAATAGTTGACCGACTTACTAAGTCTGCACATTTCCTACCTGTGAGTATGAGCTTTCCTTTGGAGAAACTGGTCAAGTTGTACACAGAAGAAATCATGAGATTGCATGGTATCCCTGTAAGCATCGTGTTTGATCGAGATCCAAGGTTTGTCTCGCGTTTTTGGCAGAAATTTCAAGAGTCATTAGGGAACAAGTTAAAATTTAGTACTGCGTACCATCCCCAAACCGACGGGCAGTCGGAAAGGACAATTCAAACTTTGGAGGATATGCTGAGGTCGTGTATATTGGATTTTGGAGGGAAATGGAGCCAGTATATGACCTTAGAAGAATTCGCGTATAACAACAGTTATCAAGCCTCGATTCAGATGGCCCCGTATGAAGCGTTGTACGGTAGAAGATGTCGATCTCCGATTCATTGGGATGAAGTGGGAGAGAAGAAAATTATAGATCCAACGACTATACCTTGGATAGAAGAAGCCCATGAGAAAGTAAAGCTAATTAGAGAAAGACTTCAAGTTGCCCAGAGTAGACAAAAGAGCTACGCCGACACAAGGAGAAAAGATTTGGAATTTGAAGTAGGAGACAAAGTTTTCCTAAGAGTTAAACCCTTGAAGAGCGGAGTAGTATCCAAGAAGGGTAAGAAGCTAAAGCCAAGGTATATCGGACCTTTTGAGATCTTGAAGCGAATTGGAAAAGTAGCATATCAGTTGAAATTGCCTGCGAGCATGGCCAAGGCTCACGACATCTTTCATGTCTCCATGCTTAGGAAATATCACCCCGACCCTAGCCATGTGTTGCAATTAGAAGGAATCGAGGTGGATAAGGCATTAACGTATGAAAAAGGGCCAATCCAGATTTTGGAAAGAGAAGTGAAGGAGCTAAGAAATAAGAAAGTTCCTTTGGTAAATATTTTATGGAGAAACCACGGACTAGAGGAAGCAACTTGGGAATTAGAAGAAGAAATGCAGAAAAAGTACCCCAATTTATTTCTTTAGACAGTGTGAATTTTGAGGATAAAATTCATTGTAAGGAGGGGAGGATGTGAGAACCTCAAAGTATATATATATAAATCTCAGTGCATACTTCATTTGCATTTCTAATTCCTTAATAAATTCTAGCATTACTTTTACTTGTTTTAAATAAAGTGCGTAAAAATAATTTTTATGTGAAAAATAATATAATTGTACTAAATTATTATCTTACTTGACCTGTTATAACTAAATCGATATTTCTTGAGTTAGATTAATTTTATTGCTCTAAAAATAAATGCTTTAAATTTTGATAGCTAACTTTTCCCTTATAAGGTCAAGAGTAAATAGGAACTTTAGTGTTAAGGTGAAATCGTTAAATGTTAGATAAACATAACACAAGTATACTAAGTATAAACTTAGGATGTAAAAATTTCGATAATTGAACCCTTGCGAGATTGGTATATTGGTAGGCGTTTAAATCTCATTTGGAATAATTCTTGGAATTAAGTTAGAATTGAGGACTCGAGTAGAAATTAGGAGAAAATGTGAAAAGACCGAAATACCCTCCACTACTTTGAAAATATCCATGCAACCACCAAACACTTTCTCGGACAAACTCTATCTAACATAGCCATTTCCTTCGGCCGGATGCAATCTTCACCATTTCCACACTCAACCTTCTCCTTACCGCGCACCATTTCACTCTCTACCCTCTCACCTCGCACCATCACTCCACCTTACCTCGTGATCATCGAAGGAAAGAAGAGAGAGAGCCGTAGCCTTAGTATCATCGACGAGAGAGCGAGCTGCAACATTCCAGTTCTGACCGAGGGAGTGAGCTGCACCATTTCCCTCATCCCAACCACGAGTTGACCATTTTCTTCTGTTTCTTCAACCCCCACCAGCGGCAACCAGTTCACCAGTTCCAACCACCAACTCCACCACCTGCAACAGCCGCAACTACTGCAACCAGAACCAGCACTTCAGGCCTTGCGCGTGAGCCGAGAGGAAAGAAAGAAAATTCAGCGTACTGTCGAGGGAGCTGGGAGTCTAGCTGAGGTAATTTCTGAGCTAGACTAAGTTAATTAGAGGTAGATGATAGTGTTTAAGAGCTTGCATGTGGGATTTGTGCGTTTGGATGAGAGATTTAGGAACAGAAAATTCTGATGCGCGAGGGAATAGGTTTTGCCGAGAGCTGAAATGATAATGTAGCATTAACCTTGTTTATTTCTTGACAATCTGAGTACAGACTTGCATGTTGGATTTGTGCATTCGGACGAGTAGTTTAGGAAAAAGAAAATCTGATGTGCGCAAGAATAGGTTTGCCGAGAACTGATTAGGAATGATGCAGCTTTATTTGGCTTAATCGTGATGTTCTGAGATTATAGCTATGATTAGCTAGTTAATAACAAGATAATTAAGTCCTGCGTGGGGCTAATTAGCTCGGCTAAACAAACAAAATAAAATGAAACAGAAAATTTATGCATGCAACTTCATCCGAGACCAGCTGGATGAATTTCCTGATTTTTGGAATGATTGTAGTCGTTAACCGAATCTAATTTTGAACTAGATATGTTAGTTAACAAGCTAGCTTAGTGTTTGCATGTCGAATTTGAACACTTAACACACTGTTTTGGCCGAGGAAAAGTTGGAGTTAAGAACACCTAAGTGCTGGAAAATTTTTGATAGCCGAGAGGTGAGCAAGAGTTTTTCAGTTTATTCCTGGAATTACAGGATGTTTTTGGAATATTTTCCTTGGAGCATAATACTCAAAAATGCAAGAGAAATGTGTGTTCAAACTTGGGAATCTGCTTAGCTACGAAACACTTGACGTATTGGAAATTTTGGTTGGAAATGTTTAAGCATAGTGCTGGAAATTTTTCAGTTTAAACAAGAATGGAAGAAAGGAGTTTTTCAGATTTCTTTTGCGAATTTTTGGTTCTAAAAATTGCTGTTTTGAATTGTTAGCTATATTGCTACAAGAAATAATTGTTGGATGCTAAGGGCTAATGATTGATGAAGCCTTGGCTATTTGAGTAATTTTTACAAGCATTTCAGTTTTGATGAAATTAACTGCTGGAGTTGCTTGTTATTACATCTACTTGGTTGATAAAACCCTTGCGGTTTAGTTGACGGAATTGCTTGGAGGCCTTGCATTTGTTTTGTTCAATTGTGATCTGATATGAGAATGTTGGATACCAAGAGCTAATGATTGACGAAGCCTTGGTCTTTTGTTTAATTTTTTATCAGAAATGAATCTGTTGAAACCTAGGGCTAATGATTGACGAAGCCTTAGTGAGATTTCTATTCGAAATGTGAGTTTGCTATATTGACAAATCTGAAATAATATGTGCTTGTGAATCGGAATAGTAAAAAATCCGTTTTGGTCCTGTGAACTTGAGAAAGTTTTAAGCAAGCTATTTAAATATATCTTCACCCTAGTATTGAACGATAAAACTTAGTATTGTACGTTAACGTTCAAAATTCTTGTGGAGGGATTTTCTAAACTTTGCCGACTTGATATTTCTTTCTTTAACTCGAACTAGCCCCATTATTTTTAGAAAATAATTTCACTAGTTTCTAAAACCCTAAGTCTTGCTTTATTTCCTTTTCTTTTCTTAAAAAAAAAAAATTGTTTCCACCTAGTTGTCTAGAGGAAAACTTGCTCGGCAAGAAACTTATTCAAGTGAAGTAGTTTTAATTGCATGTTGAGAAAGAAAAGTATTTTTTTTAGGAAACTATACAAAATATTTTATTACTTTTACCAGTTTTAATATTAAGTGGATTGTCGATTTATTTTGAGAAAATAAACTAGTAATATACTAGATAATCTTTTATATGTATAAGCCTACGACTTGAATAGAAAACTTATAGTTTAACACTTGGTTTTCTAGGATTTAGCGAGGACGCAGATTTCGATTTCCAACTTGAGATCTGAACTTCACTCTTGGTGAGTGTCCCTGCTTGTTTTATGACTATTTGATTAAAGTGCTTTCTTGACTTGATATATGATAATTGCAAAGTGGTTTTTGATCCATCGAAGTGAGCAGTGTGTACCTTATCATACTAGCCTTTCGAGTGGTGACTTGTGTGAAATATTTTCGTGAATATCTCAAGTGTTGTGACGTCGTTGGGTGAATCCCTCGACTAGTCTGAAAGTGTTGTGACGTCTGAAAGTAATTTATTTGCACAGTAGAATGAGCAAACAGTTTTGTTTTGTTCTTCTTGCTTGAAGTTGCAATTTGATTCAGGCCTTGATATTTCAAAACAAATAAGTACTTACTTGTTCAGACGAATATGCGATGCCTGATGTAGATGTTTGAATTCCAGCAATAAGCCTTCCACACGTCAGGCCTCTAGTTCGTCCACACAGACTCAAACCAATAGGTAATAGAATTTTGGAGTTTTGTTTCGGTAGTGAAGAAACGACGATATTGCCTTGTTCCTTTTCCAAAACAATCG